CCCTTCCTCCATTCCTACCTCCTCTCCCAGGTCTGTCTTGATCTCCCCAGCCCCAGGGCCTTGGACAATTTGCAGTGGGGGCAGGTGGGCTAGGATCTGAAGGACAGGAAGGAATTAGGAGCCACATGCTGGGGAGCACAGAGCTAACCAGTTCTTCAGAGAAGGGGAATTCTCTGGAATTCAAGAAGTCCCATTTAGGGGCCCTTCCCTGTCCAGGGGCCTCCTGAGCCCCTGAATTCTCAGAGCAGCTTTCCATCCAACACACCTGTATCAGTGCTTCCTGAGCACCGGGCTCTGGGTGGCTTTGAGGGACTCAAGGATGAGTAAGGCTGACTTTGCCCTTGTGGAGCACCCAGGGTGGGAGAAAGGGCCCAAGGGTTGAAGTATTTGTTCACTCAACAAATACTTACTGAGCACCTACTGTGTATGAGGCACTGTGTTTGCTAGCTGAATGACCTTAAGCAAGCCATTCATCCTGATTCTGTTTCCCCAACGGAAAAATGATGGACTTGCACACATCAAGTACCCAGAATGAGGCCTGCTAAGGGTCGTAGGAGGTGTGGTCCTCAATCCACAGCTGGTGAGAACTAGAACTTTCCAGGGTAGGACCCCAGATCTTACTCCAGAGCCTAAACTCCGGGCCCCACTAGTCGCCAGGCAACCCTAGTGGTGAGTGATGCATGTCAGCTGTCACCATGGGGGATTGTTTGTTCCGGTGTGGGGGGGGGACTGAGTCAGCGCCAGGCAGCCTGGGGGGTGGGAGGCACAACACCCGCCGCCTGCTGGTGGTGCCAGCTCTGGGCAGACAGACGGCACCCTTCCGCTCCATGCTGGACCTTGTCGCTGTGCCTGTCAAGTGGGCTGCTGCCCAGAGTCAATGAAATGTTGATGTGGGGGGAGGGAGAGAGTGATCCAGATGGCCTCAGCTCCCTCCAGGAAGCCCATGTTCTCTCCCTCTAAGCCGTCTGGGGTCTGGGATGCTTGGGGGTGGTGCACCTGCTGCCTCACCCTTAGAGCTGGAGCCAAGGGGAAGGGACCTCAGGAGGCTCCTCTGCCAGCCTGCCTTCCCTACATCACCTCCCACCTCTCACTAGGTGTATCCCACTGTCCTCTCAACAGCCTTCTCCCCTGAGTCCCCCACCTATAAGGACTCTGCCATCTGCCCAGTGCCCCAACACTAGAAGGCCTTGGGCGCGTTTGCCTTCACTTCTCTGCCATTTGAGCCTTTGTTTCTGAGTTAATCCTGTGTAGCTCTAGAATTCATTTCCCACTGCCACTCTCAGACTACCACCAATCCCTTCCCTAACACTGCAACAGTCTTTCACCTGTCTGCCCTGAGTATGACTGAGTGGTTAGAGACTTTAGAGTCAGCCTGGATTAGAATCCTAGTTTACTACTAACTAGCTGTGTGTGGTCCTGGACAAGTCAACCTCCTCCTCAGCTTCGTCATTTGCAAAACAGAAATGAAAATAATACTAGCACCTACATCATTATGTTATTGCAAGTATTAAATGAGTGAATAAACAAAAAGCCTGCTAGCATAGAGGAGGCACCATTTATGTCTTGGCTATGACTGCTAGCTTATACTTTCTGCCCTGCCAATCCTAAGACATCAATCTGACCACCCCATTCTGCTGCTTTATACTCAATTGCTCCCCATTATTTCTATATTGAAAGCCCAAACTCCTGGTCTGGCCTCAGAGGTTCCCATGTCTGGCTCTGCTCACCTCTCTGGCCCCATTCACCATTCCCTCCTTTCTTCCCTCTCTTCACACTTTAACTCTAGCCCCATGAAACCTGCAGCTTCTGGATGTTCCTTGTTCTTTCACCCCTCTGAGCCTTTGTACCTGTGATTCCTGCTCTTTGGACTGCTCTTCCCCCATTCCTTCACCAAACCCTCATTCAGAGTCAAGTCTGAACCCTCATTGTCCCCCAAATGGGCTAGGTGCCCACTCCAGGCCCTTCCAGCGGAATGTATTACAGTTTAGAGTTCTCCTCTCTCCAAGGCTGGAGTTCCTCCGTGGTAGGGCAGGGGCTGTGTCCAAGGCCTGGGCCTCCAGTGCTTGGCATGCAGCCCGGCAGAGAAAAGGCCATTTCCTGAGATATTGGGGGGGGGGGGTTGGGATATGGGCCTAAAGTGGCCATCGGGATTCCAGAATTTCATTCCAGACTGTTTAGTGACCTTGGACCAGGCCCTGCTCCTCCCTTCCTCAGCCTCAGTTTCTCCATCTCTGCAGCCAGCTCCAGCTGGCCAGGTTCCTGTGTGTAGACTTCGGTTCCACAGGAGGGGTGTGTGTGTATAGGTGGTAGGTTGCGGGGGATAATAAGCTACTGCCCCAACCCTGACGCGTACACAAACCTCCCCCCAGATCATAGCCTTTGATGAGCTGCGGACGGATTTCAAGAACCCCATCGACCAGGGGAACCCAGCGCGGGCAGTAAGTGATACATGTGCTGTGCCGAGGTGTGTCCGTCTGTCTTTCCATCTGTCAGTGGGCAGGGGATGAGGGACGGGAAGACTAGGGTGTGGTGTGGGAAGCCAATGGTCGTACCCCTTCCTCTGTCCCCACCCCCAGCAAACACCTGGCGAGGGCTCAGGGCTCGGGTTTCCTCCTGGTGGGGTGGCTGTTGCCAGGCTCTGGGCCGTTGCCTTGGAGACGCGGGTGAAGGCCCCTCCATGGTGACAGTCGCCATGGGAACGGCGGGGCTGATTCCCCGCCGTGCTGACAACGCCGCAGGCCTTTTTGGCGCCCCCTGGCGGCCACATGCCGGGAGGTGGGCACTGCAGCGCCAGCTCCTCCACCTCCCCATCGCAGCCTTTTCCTTCCCTCTACAGCGCGAGCGTTTAAAAAACATCGAACGCATCTGCTGCCTCCTGAGGAAGGTCAGTGTCAGGGCTAGGGGCAGGAGGCTCCTAGCCCAGCTGCTGCCACTCTCTGCAGGCCCGAGCCAAGCTTTCCTCTTTT